ATAATGATTCCTAATGAATTTCGATGTAGGATGAATGCCAAAAATGTGAATGAATGTGAGTTGTAGGTGTTGATGGTGGAAGGAGAAATGGTGGCCATTGTAGAATAAGAGAGGTCCCATTATACCTTCTATATCAGAAGGCGAATGACTGTACTCAAGAGGTGGAATTTCCTATTAAATCTAACAATCCATTACTAACAAGGGGAGGCTACAGTCAGTGGGTTACCAATTTTCACTAATTTTGTTTTTAGGTGATACAACATCGAAAATATTGGGCAAATATCTTCCCAATTCTTCTTCCAATGGGCCCTAGGAGCAGAGAAAAAAAAAATGATATAATTTCAAACAAAATTTATATTATATATTTTTGCCTTTTCTTTGACTGGATTAATCGATATCTGCTTTAGTTCAGAATAAGAAAAAAAAAATTAACTGTTATATTAAATGAGGTTTAGGAATATAACAGGCCGTTGATGTTTCGGCATTCCTTCAAGAGCGCCTTTTACTTTCCATCTAAAGCTCTCAGGGATATGGGCCTCCTCTTGGTACTTCTGGATTAACCTACACCGATAAAGGCTAAGTGTAGGGGAACTAAAACAAAACCCTCTAGGGCTAAGTACCTCAGTTGTATCTCGTCAGGGCAACCCGACCTAAAACATGGAACAATATCATAAACAAAGCTTCACACATCTCTTGGGATCGGTCGTCGACTTTAGCAGCAATAGTTCGAGAATTTCCACACTCACCCTTAAAGCGGAAAACATAATATAAAAAACAATTTATTGAGAAATATTACAATCTGTCACAGTTAGGACACTTATAATAGAGTTCAGAGAGTACATTCATACCGTATATACAGAAATATAAATAAATAAAGTAATAACAAAAGAATAAGAAAAAGAACAAAAGAGTAAAGAAAAAAATATAATATATATACACATAAGTAAATAAAAATAGAAATAAAAGTAAAACAAACACCTTATATAAACTACCTATACATTATTTACAATTTGCCAGGTGATCTCCGAACCAATCCTGTCCCCTCCACATGTGGAGGGAAAAGGGAGGCTTAGGAGATCCCTACGCTTCTCCCTCAGCCACTTCACTGGTATTTTAAACCAGCGGAGGATGAGTAAGAGCGCTACAGCCACAGACACTCATGACTTGAGTGGAGAATCTGGCCATTGCTAGAACTCCAAAATATCCATATTTACAAAAGGTCTCGTGGCCACTGCCGCTTTAACCTACGAAGGGGATTGTAGGGATGGGTGGTGCTTGATAGGGATTGTACAACGGGATTTGGGTGATGAGAAAGGTTCTGGTGAAATTGGAAAATTTGGCTGGGATAAGATCAAGAATAAATGGGATATTAAGGTCATGATGTAGGGTTTTATTGGTTACATAGAAGGGAGCATTGACTATTGTACGGAGGACTTTAGACTGAAAGGATTGAATGCGTTTGATGTTAGAAAATTTGGCTGTTCCCCATAGTTCTAGTCCGTAAGTCCAGATGGGTTTCAGTATTGTCTTGTAGATCAGTAATTTGTTTTCACCAGAAAGTTTAGATTTTCTATTCAGTAGTCTATATAGCTGGCCATATCGTCTGTTAAGTTCCTGTCTTTTAAGTCGAGTATGTGGATTCCATGTTAGTCGTCTGTCTAAGAGAAAGCCAAGATACCGGACTGTATCTGAGAAAGGAAGCTGGATGGAGTTAAAATAAACTGGTGGGCAGGTATTACGCCGAAGGGTGAAGGTAATGTGTTTACATTTAGATTCGTTTACCTTGATGCGCCATTTCTTACACCAGTGTTCAATCAGGAAGAGGTGCCTTTGTAAGTTTGCGGACGCTGTTTCAGGATCTGAGTTGGAAGAAAGGATAGCAGTGTCATCAGCGAAAGTTGCCAGGAGGGTATCGGGATGGACAGGAATATCAGCGGTAAAGAGAATGTAAAGGATGGGGCCCAAGACGCTGCCTTGAGGAACGCCAGCCTCAATTGAGTAACAGTCGGAGAATTCGGTGCCACAGCGAACTCGGAAGGAGCGGTCGGAAAGATAGGATCGGAGTACTAGGTATAAGGACTGTGGTAGATGGATTTTAAGCTTGAAGAGTAATCCGGCGTGCCATACCCGGTCAAAAGCTTGCGCTATGTCCAGAAATGCACCCGAGCAATACTGCTTGCTTTCTAGGGTTGAGGATATATGGTCAACAACTCGGAGTCCTTGTTGGACAGTGGAATGTTGGGAACGAAATCCGAATTGATGAGTAGGAAGGTTATAGGATTCAATTATAGGTAGGATTCGTTTCAGTAGGATCTTTTCAAAAATTTTTGAGAGGATTGGGAGTAGGCTAATTGGTCTATAGGATGCTGTATTGTTGGAAGGTTTTCCTGGTTTCAAGTAGAGGACGATAGTGGAATGTTTGCATAAGAGAGGGAAATGGATAGTTCGTAGGATGCAATTGTATTATTTATGTGAGAAATTTGATGGCTTTGGATGGAAGTTGTCGAAGGATCTGTGGGGTTAGAAGGTCATATCCAGGAGATTTGCGACGAGTGATTTTCCGTAGAAGGTATTTGACCTCAGAGGGATTAACAGCTTTAGGTGGTAAGGAGAGTGGGATGGGTGTTGAGAGGGATTCTTCTACTTTTACTGTGTGGCTGGGATGGGATTCGGGATGAGGAGTGAAAGTATAGGAAAGGTGTTTGGCAAACTCCTCGGCTTTATCTATAAATAACGAAACGGGTAATAAGAAATATAAATAACAACAACACTTTAAATAACAACACTTTTATTTTACAACATACATAATTCATTTCATTTATTTATTTTGGAAGGCAAAATAGCTTAATGCTATTTAAAGTAGCGAGGAACGGATCCTATTCTCTGTGAGCTCGCCGTAAAAAAAAATGACATAAATATGAATCGAGGTGTTTCTTATTTCTCCACTTAACTAAGCCCCATAAACGTTCTATATGTTGAGTATGGATCCCAGTCGATGGATCAACAAAGTTAGAACGGTGATTCACCTGGAAATGATTGTACTTTGCTTCATTCAGCTGTTGGGTGTTGTGTCCTTTCCAAAAGTCCGGATAAATGGTGCTTCCTTCTTCTATATTATTTGGAATACATTCTAATAAAGTTCTTGCCTTTTTGTCCTTTATTTTTACGATGAAACACTCGTCTGTTTCTCGACAAACTCTGCCAAACATCCATTGTTCAGGGAGAACTCTTCCTACATGATTTTTTCGTTTATAAAAAAGATTCGTCTACTTCAACCACTTTCCCAGGCCCTACAATTTTCTTTGTTAACCTGTATAACGTGTTATGGGAACAAACAACCTCTCTTAAAAATTTGTTCCACATTATGATACATTTGTTCGATAGTTTCAGTTGCTCTTTGCCCCACTTTATTGTTGTCAAATTATGAGACCACCCATAAATAAATTTTAAAGCGGTTGAAAAGGTAATCATTGACCCCTCTAACCACGTCCCTTTCCTTATTGATACCTTTTTCTTACAACTCTTACGAAAGCATCTCCATTTCATCTTCCCGTCGAACTTCATTTCATGACCTTCATCACAATATTTCACCTTCGCAATTATCCCTGCATCTTGAAAATATTTGATAGCCTCTTCTTCTGAAGACGGCAATTCCCACAATGTAATTACATCCATTTCAATAATGTACAATGAATAAACGCACATGCAACAGCTTACACTAGATAAAAAGGCAGGTTACGTGACATAACATAACATAAGATAAGTAGGTGACGTAAGATAAGATAAGAAGGGAGATTTTGCAGAGCCCGCGTCGCTCACAAGTACTGAAGTAACTGTTCATTATTTTATCTCATATGTAATGTAAAATAAATTAACAATTAACTTTTAACAATATCTCTATTATAATAGTTTAAAATTATAGTTTAGTAGGCTCAGTAAATAGGGTTCCGGATTCTCTGTTGGATAATAACAATTTTTTTATTTCTTAATGACATTTACAACTGTATTACATAAATACATCAAGTAAATTTGGACATAATAGATATAATGACATGAATACACTTGCTGAGTAACTACCCAATGGTAGCACTCTAATGATATGACTACATTAGGAGATCACGGGGCCATCTTCTTTTCAGACGTCTCGGAGGGTTATCAGGAATTGAAGAGGAAGCAAGGTTAGAAACGAGATTGTTGGGATGATTCTGAAGTTTATTATGGAAGGATAGGTATCTGGATTGGGCAAGATCTGAAACATAAGGAACATTAAGATCTTTATGGATAATTTTATTAGTGACAAAGTAAGGAGCATTGATGATTTTGGATTGTAAGGATTGGATGCGAGAGGAATTCGATGGTTTAGTGGAGCCCCATAGCTCAACTCCGTAAGTCCAAATAGGTCTTATTATAGTCAAGTATATGACTCTATTGTAATTAATGGGAAGTTTAGAGCGTTTGTCTAGTAAGTGCTGAAGTAATCGGAAACGTCGGGCGGTTTCTTGTCGTTTCAGTCTAGTATGAGGATTCCAAGTTAGTCGTTTGTCCAGGTGGAGTCCTAGGTATCGGATTTGCTCAACAGGGATAAGTGGAGTATTGTTAAAGGAAACTGTAGGACAGGAAGTCGTTGGTTTACGACGAAGGGTAAAGGTAATTTGTTGGGATTTATTGGAGTTTATTTTAATTCTCCAGTTTTGACACCATTCTCCTAGATTTATGATGTGTGATTGAAGAATTTGGGATGCAATTGCTGTGTCGTTGTTTACTGATAGGATACATGTGTCATCGGCATATGTGGTGATGACAGTGTTGGGACAGGTAGTGATGTCAGCTGTATAAGGATAATAACAATAAAATACTTAATGCACCAGAATTTATTTTTCTTTTAAATAAATGCTATAAACTTAAAAAATATTTTTTTTTTCAATATGAGATATTTTATATCCTTCTTGTTCCAAATTGTACTGCAGTATAGTATGGCTGCCTTGTTAATAAGCTTCTTTCTATTCAAAAGAGTCAGATAAAGGTGGACTACCTAGAAATAAGATTTAAAAAAAATTAGTCTATTATATAAAAAAATTAGTCGTAATTATCTATATTGGTATTAAAAATATAAATAATTTAAATAAAATTATTAAATTTTTCATATATTAATAATAAACAACATTACTCTTGTTAATATTAAATTATTCAACCAGTCTGTATATCTTACTCCCTATAATATTTATAATTGTTGTGAGTGCCTTCTTATCAGTCATATATTAACTGTTACTAAAATAAAATAAATAACATACTTAGGCATATACCAAAGTTTGTAATGGCAAGTATATATATTGTAACCATGATTTAAGGAAGCCTTGGAAAAAAATAGAACCCTTCTTTCTATTGTTTCTTGGAACTGAATATTCAATTCCTAGATTTATCTTATGCATGTGCTCTGGACTATCGTTTTATTTTATAATTATATGTGGCATGCCATACCATTGTATATAGTAATAGAATAAGTATCTTTTTTGTTATTACTATTACCTTTATTATCTTAAGTATCTTTCTATTTATGTTTATATTGTATATAGTTATTATATTTAAATTTTCTCTTTTTCCTTTTGTTTATTTCTTTTTATTGCACATAATATTCTGTAAATAGATCACTAACTTGAAATACCCTTTTTTTGCTGCTTTATAAAATCCAACCTAACCTCTTCACTTGAGCTAGCATGCTAGAATAAATGTTTTATAATGGTCAGTTAAAATAATGGGTAAGTGCCTCATATTTTTCTCTTTGGAGATTAAAGGCAAGGAAAGACAGGGACCCAACAAGTTAAAATCCCAATAGAAAATTATACTTATTAAAAATTATTTTATTATCTTTTCTTTATTCCTTTGTTTGGTCAAATAAATAGTTTCGCCCAACGTGGGGCACTTCACTTCCCTAAAATTTAACAAAATATTTATATAATCAAACAAAGGGATAAATAAAAGATAGTAAAATAATTTTTAATGAATATAATTTAAGATAAATATAGAAGATATGAGGTATTTACTCATTATTTGAACTGGCAATTATAAAACATTTATGCTACCATGCTAGCTCAGGTGAAGAGGTTAGGTCGGATTTTATAAAGCAGCAAAAAAAAGAATGTATTTCAAGTTAGTGATCTATTTACAGAATGTTATGTGCAAGAAAAAGAAATAAAAAAAAAAAAGGATTTATCAAACGCAGCAGTTCGGTGAGGAGGATAGAAGTCGGACGCACGGGATCTGGTGGGACGGGATTGAAAGGAGCGTTTGAATTGTAGGATCTGTAGAAAATAAGAGGGTCGCCGTGTTCTAATGGCATGGTATAGGAAGGTAGCAAGGAAATATTGACGGCGGTAGGACGGATAAACCCTCTTCAACTCGGTGTAAAACAGGGTAATATGCATATCCCTTGAGATCCCAAAGATAAAGCGGATTGAGCAATTCATTAGACGTTTAAGTTTAGCTTCGAGTTCTCCCGAGAGTCCACCACACACCATGCAGCCATAGTCGAAGCGGGGGAAAACGAGATAGGAGTCCAGGAGTTGACGGGTTTTGAACGGAAGAAGATGGTTAAACTGTTTCAGGGTGGATATAGTGCGGCGGAAAATTTCGGAGATGTGTGGTTTCCAGGATTTGGTTTGATCGAGGGTAACGCCAAGATTTTTAACGGTGGAATGGAAGGAGATAAGTGAGTTGTTCAGTACAAGATGAGGAGGTGCTGAAGTGGATTTGAGGAGTGAGGGGGATCCGATCAGAATGGCTTTTGTCTTCTCCGTATTTCATATCAGGTTATTAAGATTAGCCCATCATATTCTATTGATGTCTTGTTTCAGTTTCAAGAGGGGGCGGGGTGGCCGAATAGGCTAAAGGCTTAATTTCCCCGCCCTCACCGCCCGGCCCGGGAAAATCCCGTATAGCCTAAAAAGGCGAGGTAGGGAAGAAAAAAAAAAAAAAAAAAAAAAGTTTCAGTTTCAGAATGGCATTAGAGGAATCCGTCGGGTTGAAGGAAAGATAAATTTGGAAGTCATCGGAATATAGGTGATATTGACAGTGCATCATAGAGGAAGGGAGGTCATTGATGTAGATGGAAAAGAGGGTGGGGGATAATGAGGAACCTTATGGGACGCCTTTGGACAGAGGTAGAGACATTGATTGAGGGTTATTAAGAACTTCAACGTACTGGGAGCGATCGGTGAGAAAGGATTGGAACCACTTAAGGGCACTAGATGATAAGGAAATATTTTTAAGTTTGGTTAGGAGGATAGTATGGTCAATTTAGTCGAATGCTTTACAGAAATCAAGAAGGATCAGGATGGTGAATTTTTGTTGGTATATGGCTGTGTGGAGATCTTGGGAGATTTTAATGAGGGCGGAACGAGTGGAGTAGTCAGGTCTAAAACCAGACTGGAAGCAATTCAAATGGTTATTTTGTTCGAGATATTGGAATAGTTGGGATTATACTATTCGTTCTAAAGGTTTGGAAAGATTAGATAACATGGAAATTGGACGGAAATCCTTAGGAGTTGTGGGATTAGAGATTTTGTTCAGTGGACGAACAAGGGCGGTTTTCCAGGTGCTAGGGAAATTGGAACTTTGTAGTGAAAAATTATAGATATGATAAAGGATTGGGAAAATGGATGGAAGTGAGGATTTAATTTAATTCAATTGGGATATTATCTGGTCAGAAATCTTTGGTTTGGGATTTACAAATGGATTTAAGGAGGTTGTCAGGGGTAATATGCGAAAAGAAAAAATGAGTGGGATTAAAGGGGGGATGTATAAGAGGTGGAGCTGGTGCTTGGATAGAGGGATAGGATGAACAGGAGACAAATTGAGTGTTGAGTATGTCAGCTGAAATAGAGGTAGTCTGGGTTTGGGTGGGTTTGCCTAAGGATAGTTTACGGAGGATTGCCCACATTGCTTTGGAGTTTGGAGTGCTGGATAAGGATTGTTGGTAATTTGGCTCGGCGTATCACGGATTGCGTACTCGGATTCGAAGCATCTTGAAATTCGTGTAGTCTTCGGGGAGTCGAATGCGCTTATACTTTCGTCTTGCTGCCTCTCTTCGTCTGATACAATTTTTTATCGCAGGCGTCAACAAAGGGGCTGGGGGCTACTTGATTGTCCTGACTTTAAGAGGAGCATAACGGTCTAGGATAATGTGCAGTTGATTGGTTAAGGTTTCTACCATAAAATCAAAGGAGTTAAAGGAGTATATGGAGTCCTATTGGGAGGAACAGGAAGGTTATAGGAAACTTGCATGAGATCATGAGCAGACAAAAAAGGAACCGGGTGATGTGATGAGGCGAGGAGTTTATCAGAAGAGGCAATAATGCAGAGATCGAGCCAAGAGTCTGAGTATTGGGTGTGATGGGTAGAGTTGTACGGGACTATATACAGATTAAGAGAGTAGAGGAGGTTTGATAAATAGGCTTGGTCAGAAGAAGGAAATAAAAGTTGGTATTGAAATCTCCGAAAAGAGCAATGTTAGAGTAGGAAGGGCTCAGTTCGTAGAGGATGACCTCGAGTGTTTCATCAAAGGGGATTCTAGGAGGTCGGTAGATGACACCAATGGACAATAAATATGAGGAGGTGGATATTTCATCAAAAAGATATTCGATATGTGGGGAGAGGGAGAGAGGAGACAAAGCAAGGATTTTGGATTTCAGGCAGTCATGGACAAAGATGACTCCGCCTCCGTTTCTATATTCTATATGACGGAGTCACTCCTAACTATAGGGAGTGAAACTTGAGATGATGGGATCGTGGGATTTAGCCAAGTTCCAGTGACAGCGATTAGGTGGTAGAAGTTATGGAGGAAGAAATCATGGAATTCATCTATGTGGGCTAAAAGTGACTATGCAGGACAGGATAATAAGACATTAGTCGTAAGAGATGGTAGAGTGGGACAGTGAATCGGTAGGAGGGGCAAAAGATATGGAAATAATTAGGTTGGATTGATGAGATTGATAGGTTGGATTGGATGAGACGGGATACACCGTAGATGCTGAAACATTAATAACAAAATTATTGAAAACAAGAAACTAGAAAAAAAAGATAGAAGAAATAATCCAGATAGTATCCTATAATCAATGGAGATGCCTATGCTGCACAGATGGGCGGATATATAAGACTAGATCATGTCCGCCTCCCCTAGAACCATTCTTCATACTTCATTCATGGAGTCATTAAAGATTCTTACACGAAAAACCTAGTCATATTTAACGGTTAGGAGTAGATGGTGGGAGAGAACTGAATGATTTACTTTTGACCGGTCTGCAGCTCCTGACTGATATTGCGGAACTTATAGACAATTTTAGATACATTTCTGTGCCCTTGACATGGGGTATAAAAATGATGTTCAGGTGTATCCGCATTGCCGAAACTAATCAAAACTTATTACTTTTTTTTTTTTTTCGGAGAAGCGAATTTCCACAGCCAATCCAGGATTATGAGTTGGTTACCTTGCCATTTAGGTTGGTGTTCTCCTTTTATTGCTCAGAGAGGCATTGTACAGTTATTTCTGGAAGAAAGTCGTAATGTTCCTAGTCAAGAAGTTCCGTTATGGCTGGATTCTCCAATCTTTCAAGGTTTTGGGTTTATTTTGAGATCCCAAACTTGATCATTTTTGGTATTCATTAAAAGAAGGTGAGCCTATTTTTACTAAGTGCGAGGTATTTTGTCATTGATTGCCAACATTTTCGATATAAATGGATATATCAGTCCTATAATATTTTCAGTGTATTATGTGTGTACATTACAACGTTTGTGGCTTTTTAAGGCTGACTGGGATGATGAGTTGCCCTCTAGTTTATTTTCATTTCTTTGAAAAACTGAAAAACTCAAACCGAGTTTGAGAAATGTTTGCCTGCCTCGTTGTATTGTCAGCCAGAACCCACCCTCCTTGCTGCTAATCGGCTTTTTTCTTTTCTTAATTATATAATGAGAAGCCATTTTCGTTGTTAAAATGATTTTGTTGTTAACATGATAAAAGTTTTAATTTGTTAGCCTACATGTGATCTGGCTCACTTTATTTCTGTTTTTCCAAAAGTATATTTTGAATAATTTCTCTCTTTGTTTATTGTAAACGAAGCAATTTTCCTCTCGTTTGTGCCTTACCTAGTAATAACCCCAATCTATGAGCATTATTTTTTTGTTTGCGATATGAGAGATTTCATGGTGGGAGATGGGTTTTTTCTAAGTAATTTTGTACCCGAACGCCGCCTTGCGGTGAGTTCTGGAAACGTCTGGTATGCCAGCATAAAAGGGTGTATGTAATATTTACTTTACATATATCATATAATCTACCAAATTCAATAAATATACATTCCACTGCCAAAATAATGTCGAATGTTGCCTAAGTTGAACTCATTGGAGTTATTTACCTTTACTTTTATTAAAATAGAAAGTTGCCAAAACCCTTGCCTTTTGAGTGTGAGGAAATTATTAATTTCCTACTTCGATTCCTAGAAAAGTTTACTGTTCACTCGCGGCGTTTCATTTGATTCGATTATTATTTCTGAAGGTCCTGAAGTTCTCTGAAACGCTAGGATTAATCCTTTTGCCAGCTGTTGTCTTTCGTGAAAGAGTGGTTGGTGTTTTTGTATTTAGCTGTGTCAATTTCTGATTCTCCAACTAGAAACAGCTAAAAATGAGTTACTCGCGAATATTTTTATTAAAGGCGTGGATTGTTAAATATAAGATACCAATGGATCCAAATAATGTTATGTTTATTTAAGTTTAAACAATTCACTATTGCAGCTCTAAATTTATGTATGCAGAAATTCTTCGATGACTTTTAACACATTTCAGCGCAGTTTACATTGTTACATAGATAGCAGGGGCGTAGCTAAGGTTGGCTACTCTAAACGGGAGCATTTATTTATGTACTCCTCCTCCATCTTTCCCCATTCTTCTAAAAAAGGCTAACTATATCCCCTATCTAACCTCGCAACATTTTTCAACACTTAACACAACAGCCTCTTCCAAATACTTAATAGAGCACAATTGTTCCGAGAAATCTTAAAAATGAACTTAAGTATTTTTAAACTGTATATTGAACATTTGTTAGATAAAGATTTTATATAATATTTTTATAGACTAACTAAAAAATAACTAGAATGAGAATCACATTACTTACATTTGTTTCATGTTTTTACAAGGTGATAAGCATACTCATAATTTTATATAATATTACAAATCACATTAGTACTTTGCCTTAATTTTCGTGATTGAAACATGACAATATTGTACACTTGTTTTATTAGTACCCTAAATTATAAAACATATTTATACGATCTATTTGATTTACATATTTAGTAAAATGAGTCAGCCATATCCAATAAAAGGATGAACCCTTTTAATCAGAACCTTAGTGATGACTATTATATGAGTTTTCTCCAATTCACAAGAGTCAGATATAGGGAGAATACTTTTTCATGTATATGATAATGAAACGTTGTCATGAATGATAATTCCTTACCTCTATGAATGAAGGCAGCTCTTGGATGATTTGAGCAGATTCGCCCATCTACAAGGTGCTTCCTCCAGCCAACTTCTGTATTGTCTACCAGTATCCTGCAGAATGGACATCTTGTTTCTCCTAAAAATAAGTTAAAAATGTTTTAGCTATACCTACCTATGGCTTTTTGTTATTAATAAATTTTAAATGACAGCTAGCGTTTCTCTCTAGCTTGGTTGAGCCTAAGGCTTTCAATCACAATTCCGAGAAACACAATTGTTCCACGAACCTCACTGGGGAGGTTTCTAGAAATAATCTATTAAGAAATTATATATTAAAGAAAAAATAATTTTTAGAATTAATAATGACCTGCAAAGTTAACAAAAAACAGAAAAAGGTTACCTACGATTTGAGTTGAAATTTCAATTTTATTTGTATCATTTATACATAGAAACATTCATAAAAATAAATGGATAGAAAATATGGGATCTGGGGCACCGATTTGGGCAGCCAATCAGAACTAGCCTTAACCACCACATGACCAATGACGTTATCATGGCCGGAAGTTTGAATTTGAATTTGACGCTGCCTTTTAAGACCTCATCCTTATCTTTACCACCTAGCCACGCTTCCTTTAATCACGTGACCATTAGCCCCTTTTAATACTCCTACACTACTCTCTAACCACCTGGTTTTGGCCAGCTGTTGTCACTTGATTAGTCACGTGACCATTAGCCATGTCTCATTTTTTATCATATGGCCCCTACATTCACACCCACCCCTCTCTAAGAGGCTGAGCGTGCCTAGCCTCCATCTTGTTTTCAGGTACTTACAAGGTTTGTGCCTTGTATGATGTCACGAGGCCAAACCGTTCTTCGATCATGTGACCCCCCACATTTTCCTCCTATTCCTCTCTAAGAGGCTGAGTATGTCCAGCCGCCATTGTGTTTTACAGCAATTTGAGGAACTGAGGACTTTGTCCGCCATTTTGTTTTTACTTTAACCTTCCTAATGTTTATCTTTTATATAACCTTATTAATGTTTACCTTTTCAGAGTCACGTAATCAGTCACGTGACCGACGCCATTTTCCTGCAGCCTTCCTACTGTATATCTTTTATATAACCTTCTTAATTGTTTATATTTTCACACTGGAGTTCTAAGTGTCATGGCCGCAACTACAGCTCTATGCCCTGTGATCTGCTTATTTCTATAAAAACTGCTGTTTTAAGTTGTTAACAATGAGTTTGTGAACAGTTGAACTCTTTAACATTGAAATAGTGAGGTGAGAGACCTTTATTAACTATTAACTAGTTATAAACTGATACCAGTTTTATAGAGACAGCATAGCTGATCGGTAATTCACTAGTGGTTCTTGCCTTATCTACGTAAGATTCACGGCTAAGACGCTCTATGTATAAACCTTCTTTTCTTAAGTTGGTATCGAGTTCTAACCTAAGTACATAAGATTCCTTTTTCCTTTCTCTTTTTTAAAATAATATTATATTTATTTTATTCCACATGGATTGTCATGCACTTTTAATTTTGTCTTTGAGGGTTTTACTTAATTCTGAGTGCGAACTGCTTTACCCAGACCAAGTTGAGCTAGCGCTTCCCTTGCGGCACGATCAGCCAATTCGTTTCCTAGTAGACTTGGTTGGGACCCATATAAATGTAACAGCAATAAATTGATTTTATAAAGTGGTTAAGTAGGAGTGGGTGCACGAAATTTGTGTTTTTTTCGGATACATACAATCAAAACCCTGTAATTAGCTTACATAATCTGTAACTGATCGTATGTTGTTTTGGTTTAATGAAATACAGAAATGAAGTGCTGCTACTATTGCATTCTGTTCCGCAGTGTATACATTACAAAGTTTATGGAGTTTGATTTTATAGGTTGAATATTTGGTTATGAAAGCTGATGCTGTTGATTGTTCTGATTTAGATCCGTCAGTGTAGATTATCAAGGTTTATGGTATGTTTTGGAGAATACGAGAAAAATGGATTTTACATTCAGATATACCTTACTGACAGACACTTCAAAGTCAATCATAACAATGCTCATTCATCACTTTTTACTCAGTCTGCCAGTGTTCCTCAAGGTAGTATCCTAGGTCCTATCCTTTACACAGTTTATACAGCTGACATCCCAACCCAATCCAACACTGTCATCACCACCTATGCCGATGACACGTGTATCCTATCAGTTAATAACGATCCATCTATTGCATCCCAAACACTTCAATCACACATCACAAGACTTGAAAAATGGTGTCAGAACTGGAGGATTAAAATAAATTCCAATAAATCCCATCAAATTACCTTTACTCTTCGCCGTAAACCTATGACTTCCTGTCCTACAGTATCCTTCAACAATAGCCCTCTTATCCCTGTCGAACAAATCCGATACTCAGGACTCCACCTTGACAAACGACTCACTTGGAACCCCCATACCAGACTGAAACGACTTGAAACCGCCCGACGTTTTCGACTACTGCAGCACTTACTAGACAAACGCTCTAAGCTCACAATCAATTACAAACGACTCATATATATGACAATAATAAGACCTATTTGGACTTACGGAATTGAGCTTTGGGGCTCCACTAAACCATCGAATTCCTCTCGTATCCAATCCTTACTATCCAAAAGCCTTCGTAAAATCCTCAACGCTCCTTACTTTGTCACAAATAAAATCATCCACAGATATCTATCCTTCCATAACAAACTGCAGAACCATCCGAATCCTCTCGTTTCAAACCTTGCTTCCTCCTCGATCCCTGATAATCCTCCGAGGCGCCTGAAAAGAAGATGGCCGCGGGACCTTCTAATATAGAACTTTAATTTGAGTTCTACCAATGGGTAGTTTCTCTTCATGCTGTGCATGTCATGTTACCAATGTCACATTTACTTATTGTATTTTCCATGTAATACAGTTGTAAATCTCAATAAAATAAAATTTAAAAAAAACTCAGACATTTCGGTATTATTTTTGGAGTATTTAGCGAGTTTTAGATTTGTTATAGGGCGTTGGTTAGTCCAAGGTGGGTTGTCATTTCCAGATTGTTCAAGCTTTATCGTTTTGTGGAAAGAGGTAGCCGTGAATATTCTCCATGTTAGCGGAAGAGTTGTATATGGTTTCAGCACAGAAGAATAGGAAAATTTTGGATCGAAAATATATTTGTAAGTCGGATGCTCTGCCTGTGGGTATAATAATCCAGGCTGCCACCACTTATATTCAGAAGATTAAAAGTTGTAGTAGCCCCCATTCAGCGCAGAGACTAAGAATGGGACTTGTTCGAAATGCTGTTGTCACGATTCGAATCCCGATGTTGTGTACTTTATATAATTTTGCAAGTATTTGAAAACGGGCTGAGCAGTAGACAAAAGATCCATTTTCTATCTGCTCCCCAAGCAGTTTGGCTTAATAACCTAATAATGCTCAGGTTTTCCTGGTAATAGTTTTTAGATTAGAAATATGTTTTTTTTCTGTCGAATGTTAGAACCAAAAATCTAGGATGTTCTATATAAGGTATTTGTGAGTTTCGTAAAAATAGGTCAGGTGAGTTAGGTTTATTACGTTTTCGTCTGAAGTGGAGGCATTTTGTCTCTTCTGTTGGTAACTGAATTCCAACAATGTTTGACCAGTTTTTAATTATGTTCATTGCGTCCTGTAGTTTTTTTTTTGGATATCCCTCATGTTTCCTGTCGATAAAAGATAGCTAGGTCATCGGCAAAGAGAAATGGTTTGAGTCCCCTTGGCAAACTGAGTCCTAAATCATTTATAGCTAGAGAGGAGGAAGTAGGGCTCAGAACACATCGCTGGGGTACCCCACTGATCCGTCTGTGTTCTTGAGAATGTTCAAAGCCAATTCGTACCCTAACATGTCAGTTCGTAAGAAATTCTTTGATGAATGAGTACATTTGCTCCCGAATTTCAATGGGTGGTAATTTATTGAATCAAAGAAAGCAGTAATCATTTGTTGGCCGTTAAGAAACACTTATTGAGCCTCTGTCTCTAATGATATTAAATTGTTATATTGTGGATCGGCCTTTTCGGGATCCTGATTGGAATGATTGTACGAAGTTATTTTTTTTTCTATGATTCAAATTAATATTTTATTGACTATTTTCTCTATTATTTTGCAGGCGTAACTTGTAAAGAAGATTTGGCGGTAGTTGGATGGAATACCTTTATCTTTTCCTGTTTTTATTTTATATATTGTCGAGTCCGGAAGACTAACCTTTTATATTGTTTAATGTTATGTTGAGCTCCCACATGGTAAAATGTATATTGTTATATGGGGCTATATCACCTGTACTAGTTTGAGATTCTATTTCTTCAGAGATGAAATTGCATCTAGACTTATATATTTCGGAGACTTAATTAGCGAATATATTTGCAATGTTTATTAGATCATTGGATAGCTGTTTTTTGATTAATATGGTAAAGCCAAACAATGGCAGGACTTGTCGAAGCGTTTATAACACTAACAATTTATTCTACGAGTCGGATTTGTAATGTTTAAAAGTATTTCTGCAAATAGCTCTATGTTTATGTATTCTACAAAGTTTTCTGTTGTCTTGCATTTTTTAAATTGTTGTAAGTCCTTCGTCGCCATTTAATAGCCCCTTTGCATTTTTTATTGAACAATTGTACTATGTGTCTTTTTGGCTAGCCAGATGTCCTCGGTATCGATAAATTTGCTGATTGAGTGATAGTGTTAAAAATGGATTTGCACCTTCTTTAATGCTCAGATCATATGGAAATTTTAGTGGAGGGATAGCTAGTGACGAAATTTAGGGCCAATCAGCTTTGTCTATGAACCATCAAGGATTGGTTCAGCACAGAGTATTTGAATTTATGAATTTTATTTGAAATGGGAAATGATTGCTACCATGTAAATCAGGAAGAACAGTCCAGTCAAAGTTATTATAGAGCATAGAGGAACATAGAGAGAGATCCAGACGGAAAAAAGTACTGTAAGTAGAACTGAAATAGATAGGCTGTGTAGTATTTAGAAGTAGATCAGATAGTTCTATAAAGTAGTCTATTCTTTTACCTCGTGTATTTAGATCTTGAGAACCCCATAAAGGATTATGACCATTTAGATCACCGACGAAGAAAATAGGTTCTGGTAATTGATTAAAAATGTCCAACAGATGCTGGATGTCGATTGAAGGGTTCTATGGTAGGTATAAAGTACAAATGGAAAAAGTCAAATTAAGATGAATTTTAGCAGCTACAGCTTGAAAATTTGTGTTTAGTTCGGAGTATATTGATTCGTTTAAAGCAATAAACCGTGGTAACCGTGATTCTCAGACACAGTCCGGTATCTTGGCTTTCTCTTAGACAGACGACTTACGCGGAATCCTAAAACTAAACTTAAACGACGGGAATATAACCGACGATACGGCTAACAATTTAACAGACCGTTGAATAGGTAATCTAAACTTTCAATTGACAACAAATTAATGATCTACAAGACTATCCTGGAACATACTTGGACGTAGAATAGAACTTGATGCTCCGTTCTATGTAACCAACAAAACCCTAGACCATGACCTTAAAATCCCATTTGTCCTAGACCTTAAAGTTATTTTATTTACTGTATATACTTTTTGATTATTATTTAGTTGTAAATCTTCTTCTGTTTATTTTATATTTTTTGTATGTATAGTGTGAATGTGGTGTTACCTCCTTATAATTATTGTCTAAGTATCAAAATATTAGATTACTCAATAAATAAAAAAACAAAAACATTTTTACGGTAATGATAGGTATATAATAATTGATCTGCAATTATTTCTTACCGGAATTTTCTCTGTCTCCGGACTTTCTACACCCACTTTCAACATGACTGTTCAAGGACGGGATCTCCACAACCTCACTGCAGCTGTTACATCTGGTCAACATAGGACAGTATTTCCAATAGTGAATGTTCAAACCTTCCTCTGTGAAACTGTCAGAAGTGCGGAAACAGAAGATGCATTGCCTGCAGAAATCAATCATTAATACATTTGTTTCATAGTAATAGATATATGAATGTAAGAAAATAAATTTAACTTTTTTATTATTATATTATATTATTGTAAACAAGAATTCTACAAATAATGTTATAAAGGATTTTGTTTATGATTACAGAAGTAATTTACTGAAAATAGAGAATGTTTCCCAATAAGTTAGCAGTGTATTTATAATAGAAAAATGTGAAGCAGATAATGGATGCTATCTATAAAAGCCTATTGACCCTAGAAGTAATATTTTATTTTATGTAATAATATTAGAAGGGAGGAAATGAGTGTTCTGATACAAAGGATCTCCTGGATTTGCCTAAGATTGTGAACTTGGGACCCTGGACCAGAGTTCACCTTGAGATGAGATATCGCAGACCCAATTTCGATATTAATATCCGCCTGTAACCATTGATACATTCAAAATATCGGACTCGAAACATCGATAGTCGATATTTTTATTGATAAAGTAAAGATTTTTGAAACATAAATATAGTTTTGTGTAAGTGTTTCTGTACCCGAGCGGTGCCTTGCGGTGAGTCGTAAAAGTAGATCTGATAAAGATCTAAAGGATCTAAAATATAAAAGTTAAGCTGCTTACACAACGAGCCTCTCTCACCCCACTTCAGGCCAAGACTTTGCATAAAGAGGACATTACAAAGGGTGAATTGTAATGTAATGCCAGCATAAAAGGGTGAGTTTTACTTTGCATAGTTCATATAACCTACTACATTCAATAAAAATATAGTCCACTTCCGAAATAATATTGAATGTTGCCTTAGTAAAACTCATTAGAGTTATTTGCCTTTTTAATTAAATTGGAAAGTTGCCTAAAAAATGTTGGTCCACCGGACACGATTATATAGTTTTTTGTTTGCCGTATTAGCGATGTTTTGCCGTACGTATTGCCCTCAGGAATAAAAATTTAATTTTGAATTTTTATTTTTGTTTTTACAACTTTGAAGATGGCGCCGAATAAGTGTACTGAGGGACTTAAAGCTATCAATGATAAAAAGGAAAGGCCGTTTCTTAGTATTCAAACCACTTTCAATATGATTAAGGATCGCTCTGCTAGAAAGACTTAATTTACATATTTATGGCTAGGGGTTCAGAAATTAAAGCTCAACTGGAGGAATTTGAAGCAGTGTCAAACAAAATTTCGGTGCTAAATGAATCATTAGAGAAGTATAGGAGTGAGACAAAGAAACCTTGTTTAAGAGCGGAGGAACTTTATTATGAGATAAAAGTTGCTTATGATAGATTAATTAAAACAGAGTACGTAATAGTTCCCACTTCTCAACCCAGCATGTCTGAACCCATAGCACATCCTAAATTGCCAGAGTTACAGATTTCTCAATTTTCTGGACAACACGAACCAGTTTCTTCGTTTAAAAAAAAAAATGGGAAATGATAAGATGAAATCATAAAATGATAAAATGGGGAATGATTTCTACCGTGTAAATCAGGAAGAACAGTCCAGTCAAAGTTATTATAGAGCATAGAGGAACATAGAGAGAGATCCAGACGGAAAAAAGTACTGTAAGTAGAACTGAAATAGATAGGCTGTATAGTATTTAGAAGTAGATCAGTAGTTCTATAAAGTAGTATATTGTTTTACCTAGTGTATTTAGATCTTGAGAACCCCATAAAGGATTATGACCATTCTGATCTCCGACGTTGTGGTAATTGATTAAAAATGTCCAACAGATGCTGGGGCTGACTGACGACTTTAGTTAGTTTTATGGTCACTGAGAATCAGAATTAGGCTTAATTTCGTCATAGCTGATTTTTTTTAAAAGCTGGATAGTCAGAGAATAATAAAACATGAAAAGATATTAAAAAATAATTGGCTTAGGCAATAAAAAACACAAAAATATTTTGAAGTTGAAAATCAAGCGACGTTTGTAATTAAACGGCCAACAATAACGCAAAACGTGCTGAAATAAAACATCTGGAGAATATATTTTTCCTTCTAAACTGATTACTTTTTAAAATATTCGAAGCAGTTCCGTATAAAATGCACTTACTGACTATGTAGCCCTACAGCCCAGGGTGGGTCTTGGCTTCCTGAATTAAAGCATGCCAATCATCCCTATTGCTCGCTCTTTCCTTCTAATTCCTCACGTCGTGTTCCAAGGTCGCTCTCAACATCTTGTAGTCATCTTTTTCTTGGTCTTCCCTTTCTTTTTGTGCCATACATTGTAGAGAACAATGCCCTATAAGGCATCCTGCTGTGGTCCATTCTAACCACATGGCCTAACCATTCCATATGCCTAAGTTTAACGAAATTAACTATGTTGGGGCTGTTATATAATTCATATAGCTCCGCATTTTTTCTATACCTCCACACACCCTCTTCACAAACAGCTCCATGAATTTTTCTCAATATTTTTCTTTCAAAAATATTCAGTATACTAATTGTGCTAGTACAAAGGGTCCATGTCTCTGCTGCATAAGTCACAATAGCTCTTACTAAAGTCTTATATAGTCTTATCTTTGTTTCTCGTGACAACAGCGATGATCGAAAAAGTTTTAGGTTGGCATAGTACACCCGGTTTCCTCCAGCCATGATCCTCTTGTACACCTAAGCAGCAATTTTATTTTCAGAATTCACTTATAAGTATGTGAATTTTTTGACACACTCGAAGGTGAGACCACATATTTCAATGCTCTGTGGACCAGCCTCATTGTCGGCCCCGACATACATGTATTTTGTCTTATCTTGATTGATTTCCAGCCCAACATTTTCACCTGCGGCTTTCAATATTGCAAAGATTTCTTTTATTAATCTCAAATTCCTGGTAATTAGGCATATATCGTCTGCGTAAGCACATATTTGCACCATTGCGTTAAGTATGCAACCAGGTGAATCCAGTTTTTTCAACACATTATTAAGTGCAATATTAAATAATGTGGCAGACAAAGCATCCTCTTGCCTAACTCCATCCGTCATTCATAGTCATTTGCAATAACCTTATTATTTTTTTTGGAATTTGGGACTCATGTAAGGCATTTATTAATTTGCTTCTTACTACTCTATCGAAAGCTTGCCGGTAATCTAGCTTTCGAGAGAGTGATAAAAATGCACTTAAGAGGCAGAAAAGCGGTACTACACCATTCAGTACTCATCAATAGCTTAGTTATAGAGCTATAATAACTTTATTGTTACATCACATTGATTGTATTAATTAACAAATATTAATACAATAATTTAATTTTTTTTTAAATTTATTATTTTTTATTTTTATTTTTTTTAAATTTAACTTCCTTTATTCTATACAGAGGTCGTTTAAGAAGATCTCTATTGTAAAAACGATATAATTATAATAATAAAACTTAATTCAAAAATATTTTGCTGAATATCTTGATTTTTTTATTTAACGTTTGCAATTTAATGCTTTGTTTTGTATATTTACTGATTCTTAGAAGTAATTTCAATTGTATTTACTTCCCCGGAAATGAGTCATATTAATATCAGTTTTATAAACTTAAATATAACTAATTTGAATTATATATAACGAATAGTTGCCGGGTTGTTTAATAAAACTCATATATCACTAATAAAAGAATTAATTTAATTTCCTTTATTTTGTTCGTAGGTTGGGCCATATCATTAAAAAATAGCAATGCTCTGCACAAAGAAAGATGGAAAGAAAGAAGCTATATGTTCTTCTTGGTAAACGGAACTAATACTTAGTATTTGGTATCAAAATTAGGGAAAACTTGAAATTGAACCAAAAAAATTGGAATAATACATCAAGCGAACGAGGAAGGAATTGCCAATATCTCTCCAAAGACAAGGATCAGTATTCATTATATGGTTGAACGAATATATAGTAGATACATAAAAAGAATATTTTAAAGAGCTGCTAAAAGGGGGTAAAATGTTAGGCAGGTTGGGTTATATTAAATGAGGAATGGAGGTTTATTTTGGTGAAGGCCATTTTATTTTCTATTACTACTTAAATTGCACATTGAGACAATCTTAACTTTGAAACAGGTTATAGAGAGGTCTATCGAGAAAGGAATGTAGCGCTACTTCTGTTTCGTGAATTAGGAAAAGATCTATGAAGTAATCAGAAAAGAAAACATACGAACTTTTCTCAACTGCGAGTATATATTTGCGCAACACAATGTGTGAGGCACTAAGAAGACACCGTTTTATTTTCCTTTCGAGGGACTTCTTTATAACCTGCCTTAAAGTGAAAACATTTCCAATGTGCAACTTCTGTTCCAATGTGCAACTTGAGTTTCTCAATCCATATCGCTCTGACAATTGACAATAATTCTTATTCTAGCTTCTACGATTCATGAGTAGAGCTTCTTTGGCATTCTAAACAGGATTAAATCTCGATAGGTATTATATTTCCTGATATATCCTTGCTTGTAAATGGATAAAATTACAGTCCTAAACGAGCGGATCCAGCCGGGGGGCGCCCTCCCCCTTGGGGGCTTGAATAAAATTCCAAAAATAATTCAAAAAAACAGCTATTTTTAAAAAAGGGGAATAAAAGGCAAATTCATCCTCATAGACGATGAATATCCTAATTTAATATAAAAAAAAATATTATCGTGACCAGCACTAGCGAATTCTGCCAGTAGGCGCGCCCTCCCATGGACGGATGAAAATTTCCAAAAATGTGACAAAAACACATATTTAAAGAAAAGAGAAATGTAGGAAAAATTCATTCTCATACACGAATTTCCTAATGTAATAAAATAAAAAAAGTATCGTGATCAGCACTATTAAGTAATTTCTGCCAGGGAGCGCGTTCCCCTGTGGATGGTAGAAAAATAATTCCGAAAAAAAGTATACAAAAACAGCTATTTAAAGAAAAGAGAAATATAGGAAAAATCATCTTCTAAGACGAATATTTTAATGTGATCAATATCATCATCTTCAGCTCGAAAATCCATTACTGAATCTTGGCTGCCTCATGAGTTTTCCTCCATGTTTCCTGTCCTGTGCAGCTTCCACCAA